CCATTGGAAAAATTCAAAATTTGTTGGATCAGCTTCTTCAAAAGTGATTTGCATTTTTTTTTAAATATCTTTTTCATCACTAAAAATCGAAATAAATAAAAAAGTTTTAATAATAGTTTAATAAATAAAATGTTGTTGAATTATTGCACTGATTTTCTTTCTTACATTTTTTTTTTTTTGGTTCATATTTAGTAAAAGTTATCATTTCTGTAATTCGTATCAAATAAATTTTTTAATAGCGTCCATATAGCAAATTTTTATTTATTTCTGTTGCGCACACGTTTATAGTTGTAACTTGATTTTATGCAGTTGTCATGTAGAAGTAACAGCTGATCTTACGTGAGCAGTCCAGTCTTTCACACATTGCTATATTTAGATGCCTTTCTGAAGAAACTATAGTATTTATTATTTTATTTATTTTAGAAACTTCGTTGTTTTTTGAATAATTCAAAACTAAATGTTAGTATTAAGATTTAAGAACTTATTGTTAGTTTCTAATATGTTATTGCTGTTGTAGCCCGCTGGGACCTGTAAGCAGATAACATAAAACTGAATACAAGACGATTGCAAAGGTTGTGATGTGGAAGGGTAATGGTTGAAGGTGGTGGAGGGGGAGTAGGGATTTGGGAGGGGAAAGTTCCAAGAAAAATCTGGTAAAAAAAATCATCTTAAAGCTACTTGTCGTTATAGACGCTCAAATGCCACTCGACACCTCCCAAAGGGACTACACAAGGAACGGGCTCCACGAACGATCGGGTCTACGTCCCGGAGTCACTCGTCATCAACGACGACCAAGAATCGATCAACACCCCCCAATGGGACTTCACAAGCAGGTATGTGTTTGTTGACATATGTCGTTTATTTGTGTTTTTCCCACTAAGAAGCAAGTCCCGGCCATCTTGCTTCTTATGTTACTTCTAATGGCCGGTGTTGAACCTAATCCTGGTCCAGTCGGACCTTCCACTTCAACTTGGCACTGTTCTGTCTGCCGATCAATCATTCGCAGAAATCAAACATCAGTGAAATGCAATAGTTGCAGTAACTGGTGTCACTTAATTAATTGTTCAGGGTTGCATAGCCATACTGATTGGAATCCTGCTTTTAGAGGTGCTTGCTGTCCACCAGCCCCTTTACACAGACAATCTCCTTCTTCGTCTACTTCTGGCAGTCCTTTTCCAATCAATACTTCTTCTAATTCTCTCACCACTTGGCTTTGCACTGTGTGTAAAAGAGTAATCTCTAAGAACAACATCTCCGTCCGTTGCAATTCTTGTAATGGCTGGTGTCACCTTAGACCTTGCTCCGGATTGGCCTCGCATCATGGTTGGAATTCAAATTTCATTGGCAGTTGCTGCCAAATTCCTCCTATTATTCCACCTCAAAACCACTCACACCCGCAACGCTCTAGCGTAGTCTCTGTAATTAATAGTTCATCTCCCCTCAAAATTGTAACGGTCTAAGAGGGAAACTATTTGAAATTGCAGCATTCATGTCCTCCAATAATATTGCGGTAGCTGCACTGCAGGAGACTAAACTATTGCCCAACTCCTCTCTCTCTCCCCCCTCAGGCTTTACACTCATTCGTAAAGATCGACCTAGGGGCGCTGGAGGAGGCGTTGCTTTTTTGTTGCGAGATTCAACATCTCATTGTGAGCTTACTTTGCCCCCGTCTAATGACGAATACTTGGAGGTTATAGGGTTAAAAATTTTCATTGGTAGGACTTCAAGGTTCCTTGAACTAATCAATATCTACCTGCCACCCAACTCTAGCTGCCCCCCGCAGCACACCCCAAATATTTCACATCTTCTTGATGGGGATTCGCGTTTTGTACTGGGTGATTTGAATGCACACCATTCTCTGTGGTTTTCCAACCTACCAACCGATCAGAGAGGCTTGCAATTGGCATCCCAAATAGATGAATCCTCTTTTGGTGTTCTAAATGAGGACTCCTCTACTAGGGTAACGCCGACTTGTTCCAGCTCTCCTGATGTCAGTCTCGCAAGCCCTAGGCTTCTCGCTGCCTCGAATTGGAGTGTTGACATAGCTTTAAGCTCAGATCACACTCCCATCACAATCTCTATTCCATCTATCGAGGTCCTCACGGAGACTGACAAGAAAACCTACAGAAATTTTAAAAAAGCGAATTGGGCCCTTTTCAAAGATATATCTGAACGCGACTTCAGCAACATTGCTCTGTCCTCTGATTTGAACAAGGCAGAGAAACAATTTCGCAGCATTATTATCAAAGCTGCAGCCACAGCCGTCCCTGCAGGTAGATATAAAACCATTAGACCAGGTTTTCCCAGTGACGCTGTGCCTCTTGCTGAAGAACGCGATAATCTTCGAAGATTAAACCCTGCCAATCCACACATAAAAGTCCTGAACAATAACATCCGTAAAATGGTGGACGATCATCGTCTTAATAAATGGAAGGAACATTTAGATAATTGCGATCTTCAAAATGGTAAATTGTGGACTACCATTAAAGCTCTTTCTAATCCTTCCCATTCCAACAACAAGGCGATATCATTTAATGGGATCAACTTCCCTGATCCCAAGCATTGCGCCCGACAATTTTGTCGTCTTTTCGTGCCCAATGCCTCTGCTTCTCTTGTTTCACGCAGACAGAAACGCGCTTTTAGGAAGCCACATTCCGACGACACCACGCTGCTCTCCTCGGATGATGTACTTAATACGATCAGACATGCCAAAGCCTCGAAAGCTCTTGGTCCTGATGGCATTTCCATGCTCATGCTCAAGAATCTCGGGACCTTTGGTATTTCAGCTCTGACGAATATTCTGAACTCTTCCATCAGTTCACACATCATCCCTAACATTTGGAAGACTGGTAGGATTATTCCATTGTTGAAACCAGGTAAACTGGCAGGCCTAGGTGAATCATACAGGCCGATATCATTGCTATCTCCAGTAGCCAAAGTTCTGGAGTCTTTAGTTCTCAAGCAAATATCCCCTCATATTCATCTAGCACCTCATCAACATGGTTTTCGAAAACGTCACAGTACCACCTCAGCTCTCTGTGAGATCACATCTCAAATTTCAAATGGCTTAAATCAAAGTCGCCCGTGTGAACGCACGGTGCTTGTTGCCCTTGATCTCGCAAAAGCGTTTGACACAGTCTCCCATAGGACACTGTTAGATGACTTAGCCGAAACAACTATCCCTGACTCTACCAAGAGATGGCTCTGCAACTACCTTATTGGCAGATCATCCTTTGTTGACTTTAGAGATAATGTGTCTAAAGCTAGGAAATTGAAACAAGGTGTTCCCCAAGGCAGCGTTCTTTCACCGATCCTCTTCAATTTATACATGTCTAAACTCCCGGACCCCCCCGAGGGAGTCAGAGTCGTTACCTATGCAGATGACTGCACTATTATTGCCACGGGCCAGGACCCTTCAATATTGTGCAACAAGTTAAATGCATATCTACCATCCTTGGCAACATGTTTGGCTGATAGAAATCTTCAACTATCACCAAATAAATCCTCTGCCACCCTCTTTACTTCCTGGACTAAAGAGGTTTCCCTGACTCTGCCCATAAATATCGGTGAAATCAGGATCCCTACTACCACCAAACCGAAAATCCTGGGTGTCGTTCTCGACAGTATGCTGACTTTTTCTGCACATGCGTCTGCTGTATGTGACCGGTTGAAATCACGTAATAATGTGTTAAAAGCTCTCGCAGGTTGTTCATGGGGCAAAGATAAAGAAACCCTACTGACTACATACAAAGCAATAGGACGTCCTATTGCGGCCTATGCAGCTCCAGTATGGACCCCACAACTCTGCGAGACGCAATGGACTAAGATCCAATCATGTCAAAACACGGCTTTGCGGGTTGCAACTGGCTGCCATAGCATGTCGCATGTCGACCACCTTCACGCAGAATCAAAAATGCTTCTTGTAAAAGAGCATAATCAACTACTGTCCAAGCAATATCTTCTCGCGTGCCACACAGATGGTCATCCAAATGGCGTCATGGCTAGTAGTGCCCTCCCTCCTAGAAGCATTCGTCGATCTCTCCTCTCTTTTAATAATTCTATCGACGCATTTTGCAACGGAGCCAACATCAGTGAGGTCGAATACAAACGTGGACTTACAGCCCTCCACACCGATGCAGTATCTTCTTCGAGACCTATGTTGTCTAACAACAAGGTTCTTAATAGGCCTCCGCCTAATATCTCCTCGGATGAACGTTCGCTACCTCGTGCAACAAGAACTGTCCTTGCTCAATTGAGATCAGGATATAGCCGAGTGCTAAACAGTTACTTGTCTCGCATAAATACGTCCATCCAAAACGTGTGCCCTAACTGCAGCGCTTCTCCCCATGACGTCGCCCATCTGTTTTCATGTCCTTCGGCACACACTAATCTTCGTCCAATTAACCTTTGGACTCACCCCATTGAAGTGGCTAGGTTTCTCCACCTGGATCCAGGATGAAAGTTCATATACATTCCTTATCCCTCTTCCTCATCCTTTCTCCTCTTCCCCTTGTCTCCCAATCTTTCCCATTCCCTACTCATGTAATCGTCTTGTGTTTCCTTTCATGTTTATCTGCTTACAGGTCCCAGCGGGTTACTACAACAACAACAACACAAGGAACGTGTTTGTCGTTTGTATGTGTTATTAATATGTAAGAAGTTTCTTATAAAAGAACGAAAACGAAAAACTTTGCTTGAATTAATGACTACGCCCTATCGGATGCAAATTTTTAAGAGTTAACTTCATTATTCGCTGAGGCATTCGCATTTGAATGCCCATAACTTAAAAAATAAAGTAGTGTTGACATTTCTTAGATTTGCCAATGTTCACAATATAAATTATGACCCTGGTATTACAATTATAAAGATAGTTCTCATGTATATCTAAAGAACTATATTTTTGGTAACACCACTTATGTTAGACGAATAAAAATATTGTAAACAAACTCTCATCAATGTTTTAAATTTTCATTAAGTTTAGATTAATAACATAACATTAATAATTTGAAACTAAAATAAGTCTATTTTAGTATACTTCTTTAAATTATTTTTTTGTACAATCTTAAAGAAACTGAACTATTCAAGGTCATCGATTAAAACAGCATCCGATGAATTTTCAAATTTAGTTGAAGATGTGTCACCTGCAGTATCCAATGAGATCATCTTTGAAGCTTCGTTAGACTCTGTGTTTGATCGGTTACCCAATTCCTGCATTTTTATTATTAGCATGGCAAATACTTGAGCAGGTAAAGAACTTTGAAGAACTTGAAGTAATTCTGCAGGCTGACCACAGACAACAATTGCGTTAGCTAAATGTTCAACACCTCTTTCATAATCACCTTTGGATATAAGTGTCTCACCCAATTGAATTTCTTGAAGAAAATATCTAAAAATAAATAAAATAAAAGCAGTTCAATATAAAGTTTATAAATATATATTATTTTCACCGCAATGAAAAAAATTAACAGTAATTTAACTAAATGCAAATATTATATAATATTTTAAGCATCACTTTTTTTTTCAAAAAACGACATTCGGTGCTCCCATTCAAAAAACTCATTAATGTTATTGATTTTCATGTAAATATTTCCATAATATCGGCATAAATCGTAGGTCAAAAGTCATCTATTGCCCCGAATAGGTGACTTTACTTAAATACGTTGCCAAATCTGATTTAACTTTGATTTAAAAATAAATTAATTAATTAATCAAAAGATGCAATTAAATTATAATATATATATTAACTTAGATAAAACTTAATTTAACCGGCTAAAAGTTGGTTATTTAACAATTTAAATTATTAATAGGTAACACTCCCTAAAGTTATTCTTAAAATTTTTATGTACATATGTTTTGAAGATGGTCTACGAAATTGTCCGAAATATTTGTATTAACAATTTCTTGTTGATATAAACAAAATTTTTAACAATAACCTAAAAAGTACTACTTATTAATAATTTGAAATGTTAAATAAACGAACTATTAAAATAGGTTGAAAATATTAATAAATTATATAAAAAAATCAGCTAACCTGTTCGAGTTTATGGAGTACAATGCAGGGTCTGAATTGCTTGACTATTTGCTAATTGCTTATTTTTTACTACGAAAATGAAAAAAGCAAATGCAACAACATAACGCAAAATATTTTCATAAGCGATGTTATGCTTACGATTGTACAGATCTAAATGCTTATAAATGTTTTTCTCACACACTACTTATATACATAAGGAATTTCGTTAATGAATGCCAATGCTAATAAATCAGCTTCACAATAACAAATATGATTCATGAATCATAACATATACTCAAGTGAGTATGAATAACTCGATAACTCGTGAGTGCTGTATGAAGTTTTGTGTGGGCGCTGTTGTTTGCTAAACAAAAAATTTCTGTGTTTAGTTTTATGCTTTTGATATGTATTGTTATAGTTAGCATTGTAAATGCATGGGTTTTGTTTGTGTTCTTGAATATTTCTCGTGCATTAAAATAGGAGTTGTTTTAGGTGGAAATTATATTTACTTTTATTTCAGGGTAATATACTATTTTTTCTTTAAAAACATCAGGTAAAGAAAAATAAATAGTTTTAAGTTAGAACAATAAATAATTCAAATAATTTTAAATAAATTACAGGTCATTTACAGGTACCTATCTATCTTTCAACACTAACATTAAGTAATAATCCTATCTTTTAGAAATATAAATATTTAATTTTTATGTCTAAATTTCGATTTAGACATAATAGATAGGTCGATTTCAGGTACTTTTCTATCTTTCAACATTAACATTCAGTAATAATCCTAATTTTTAGAAATATAAATATTTAACTTTTATGTCTAAATTTATAAAAAAAAATAGGTAAAATTTTTGTGCATTAAAGCAAAAGTTGTCATGGTTTAATATTACATTATTATTAAGCAATTTTGAGGAAAATAAATTCTAGAATACTTTTCATACATAATTATGATTTTCTTTGATTTGTTGAAGCAATAATTATATTGAAAAACAAAATTGCAACTCATAATTAGTTGCTCTTATATAATAAATTCTTAAAGTTAAATTAGTTTTTAAATGCTTACTTATTTGTCAGAAGTTTTTCGTAATAAATGAATATAGGCGCAATAAACAAATTTTTCACAAATGTGACGCATAATTTATAAATCACTTACATCATTTTCGTGTCGAGTGTCGGTGTTTATGAGTATCATATGAGCAAAGTATAAATCATTATAAATGTTGTCAGCGTTTGTATGAATCAGGTGAAGTCAAATCAACGAAAAAGAGAGTCAGAATGCATATAAATGAAACACAGTCAATGATTTGAGTGTTGAGTACTCATTGCAGTTCTCTGTTGTGGACACAGCTTCGTGCACAAACATTTGTGTTGTGTGTGTGTTTGTTGTTGCATTTGCATTTTGCTTATTTCATTTTCGTAGTCACAAATAAGCAATTAGCAAAAAACCAAGCAATTTCAAACCCTAGTAGAATTTGTTTATTTGTTTGTTTGTATTTGTTTATTCGTACCAAAGTGAAAATAGGGAAAAATATAAGAGCTATTTGAATTTGGTTTTTGACGTAAAGGTGGAAACTCTTATATTAGCTGATACAAACATTGGATTGAATTTGTCTTTTTTATTGTGTAGTGTATATTTTTGTGTACTTTATCATAACTAATCACTATTAATAACCAAGCGTGAATACCAAAAATTTATAATTATAAGTTTTAAGGCTCATATAACCACATTGATTCATTACACAAAAAAGAAAAAATAACAATACGTAGTCAAGGTTCTTGAACTATTAAAATTTGCTATTTATCTCATTGCTATTTAAAAATGATATAGTTAAAAATTAAGAGGCAGTACAGCAATTTTTTATAAGAATGCAGTGTTATTAAAGATAGTATTCTATTAGAAAGACGAAGCCCATGATTTTATTTATAATAAGACCGTTTTATCGTTTTTTTGTTTTGTTTAAAAAGCATAAAGGAAAGTAAAATATAAAACTAGTCTTTCAATTATTAAACATAAAAAGATATCATCCCTTTTTCATACGACTTTGCACACAGGTTATATCAGAAACTAACCGAGAGTTATATCAGAAACTAATATAACAGAGAACGTGTTATTGCAAATGGTAAACAGTAAATTGGCATCTGGTATTGGAGATAGAAATTTTTGTTGTATTAACATAACACAAGTTCTTTAATATACTTTGCGACATTCACGGCAAATATTTGACTTTACATTTGAATCTAAATCTGGGTCTGACCGTATGCTTTTAGTCCTACAACCTAATTTAATTACCACCACAAATAGTGAAAAGCAAAAATTATTATTATTATAATTTAAGGAAAATGTACAAAGATTAGACAACAATAAAAGATTAATATTAGATTTTTTAGCTTTATTGAAATAGTAAATCCTATTGAAAGAAAAGAAAGCCGGTTTGATGCTGATTGTTTTCGTGTAAAAAAGAACATAGAAACTATCATTGTTCAAGAGTTAATATCAATATACACTAATCTATAGCTAAAAACATCCAAATGGCACGATAAAATAACACCATAGTAAGGACTGATGGTAAGCAAAAAACTTTAGCTTTATCACCTTAGAAGACTTGTAAATCCCAAACTAAATTCAACGGATATACAATATGCTAGATTGTAGTATGAAAACGAACTTCTGGTTGCACATATAATTCTGCCTGATATCAGAAATAATGTTTAAAAGAGTGAAGTTAAATAACAGATGAGTTTTTAATCTTAGTAAAAGGCTTTAGTAAGGTTTACAATAAACGAACTGTGAAAGAATGCCTTAACACAAGCGTAATATTTCCGATTTTTCATATGCTAATCAACTTGCTAACTATCGTGCAAAATCATTTATGATGGAATATTATGATATATTATTTGGTGGGAAAAATTTAAAGAAAACTGGCAAATCAGATGAGAAGAAATATTTGAAATAATTTCTAAAGTGTTAAAAGAAAAATATTCAATGATAGAGAGTAGCTATATTCTATCAACAATTATATATTTTAAAATTATTCGAAGAAAATGAGTTACACCTTTGTACATATATATCAGTTTACTACTTTAATGTATCTCCTGAAAAAGAAAATGATAAATATGTTAGTCAGCGACAAATTACATAAAAATAGTTTTCGACATTTTTGGAAAAAGTAAAAACCTAGATAGCACTTATAACCCCTGAAATGTACAACCAGTATATTGCATTTTATTTGTTTTTTAAATTTTTAGTTTGCTTTCCGTAATAAGCAGTCAACAAAATTATCAGGAATCAATCGCAGCTGATGTGCTAAAATCGAATTTTTAAATCAAATTTTCCTTAAAATTACTAGAGATAATAAAATGCATCATTATTAAAGTAATTCTTATTATAATAAGCTCTTACTGCTAATGTGTAATTCAAATATTCAACTTAAAAATGTAAATTTGTGGGAATAAAAATTTATTGAATAGGATTTACTAAAAGCTTGTTTGGCTTTAAAAATTCTTGTGTCAACATGGTATTTCCAACGTATTTAAGCACATACTTGCATTGTTACAACTCATAATTTTTAATAACAAACGGCCACTAGCACCCAGTAAACATTTTAAAGATTTTAAACAGACAAAAAATACTCTGAAAATAATAATAAGCATAAAAATACATCACCTTTCAATTGCTTTATGATCATTTAGGTTAGGTAGTCCTCCACGAGTTACGCCACTTGTATGGTGTTGACGGCGACCTAAAAATTATAATTGCAATTCAATTCAATTGGATGAGGCATTAATTAAACTCACGTTCACGAATTTTTTTTTTATAATCCGGATCATTTCTACGTTTGCTATCAAAATATATGCAATAACCAATAAATATAGTACCTGCAACACCAGCAGCAATACCAATCACAGTTTTGCTTAGCTCAATCATTCCAATTATTCTACCACTAAAATTTTTCGAATTGTTAAAATGTCAAGAAAATATTAGAATTTCTTCAGTAACCTGAACACAAAACGTCACACGGATAAAATCCAATATCCACTGTAAAACTATATTTATGTTAAGTTTTAATTTTTACTTATTTTACTAATTTGGATTGCTACAAATTGATATCGAAACACATATATCATCAATCCTTGTTACGTTGTGTTGTTAAACATGTTTTAAAAAATTCATAAAACTGTCTGTTTGACGTGCGTACAAGATTATACTCGCTGCATGAAATAGACAACGATAGGTGTATTCTTTTAACATGACTACTTCAATAGAACTTTTAGTTGATTAAGAATAACTTGGCATCATTGCCTAAATTAGTGAAAACATGACAAGAAAAAAAATTTTAAACAAATATGTGATTGATAGATACATGTAAATACAAAATGTCCGCAGATAATTGTATGAAAAAGTTTTTTTATATAAATATATATGAATAACATAAAAAAGTTATTGGTGAATATTATATATGAATTTATATAAATGCACACATTTTTTATGTGTTATTCATGATAATGGACAAAAATAGTGAAAGCTCTTTAGAAGTCAATAAATTCTTTTATGTAATTTTCAAACTTCTAACTTCTAGCGGCCATGTTATGCAGAGTGTCTCCGGCTCGATAAAATGCACTCTTTCGGTTTTTGCCGAATATGCATGTTATGCAGAGTGTCACATCAGTATTGCCAATTTCGTATTTTTACAATGTTTTGATTCTTTTTGGTTGTGCCTTTTAAAAGAAAACTTAGATATGCTCACTTTCAATTTGACACCAAAAATAACTAAGAGTACTTACGCCTTTCAGAAAGTGTAATAATTTGAGATTTGGCACAACAACCAGGCAGTCACTGATCTAGAGATTTTGACAGTGGCTTTTTAACACCTGGCAAGCAATTTTTGACTTCGTTTTTGACTTGTATTATTCTTTTGTGCATGAAATAAAATTTTTACAAATACAAATACAAATAAATACAAATTTTTGTGTGTGTTAAATTAATTGTATTTGCTTTTTCATACAGTAATAATTTTTTTAATAGCGATTTATAAAATAAAGCTTTGTTGCTTACTGCCATTTTTTCTCCAAAACGTATTAGAATTGTAGTAATTTGGTCCTAAAAGGTGCACATTTTGAAATTTATTACTAAACAACAATCTTTTGCCGGAGCACAAATACGCTGGCTCACATGCCGGAGTTTGGACGGCCATATTGTGTTTTCTCTCATTCTGAAATTTAAAATTTGCATTGAAAACAACAAGAATTGTACTCATGCAATGCCTGAGGCACTCTGCATAACATGGCCCTAGGTAATACTAAATGAACAGTATTTAACACTGTTCTATTTTTCTTGCAATTGTCTTACAACCTTTTGCTTTTATTATATGTTTTTGTTTTATTGATGTATTCCATTTTTTAATGAACAAAAAACAGAAATTATAAATTCCTTAAATAATTTAACTGTCAGTAATCTTCATAAACTTTCTTTAAAAAAAATACTTTTTTAAAGTATTTAAATTTATTAATCAACACTCGCAATAGTTATAGATAATAAACAAACTTCTCTGGCGTCTGACTGAAATTTTCTATTTTCTTCCACTAATCATTCACAATAGATCAGTTTTAAGATTTGGTACCATTGTAATGCGAGTGGCTTATTCGTTAAGCAGTTTCAGAAAGATGGTGGTAATTTTGTGAATCATGTTTTTGTGATTCTGATTTTTAAACGACACGTGTTCTATTGGATTCATGTCAAAAGAATATACCTCATTATGATTATAGTTATCGTGTATTTAAGTCAAGAGGGACAATGATACAATAATATCCATTAGGTTCTTTCGACAGATTTAAATATGGCAAAGAACAAGATGTTCGCTTAAAGTAGCTAATTTGTACGCAAAAGGACATTAAAGAAATATCATTAAAGAAATTAGCGATTAGCTGTAAACCTTTATTGGAATTTTCAACGAACATTTTAATCATATTTCAAAAGTTTGGAAACAAAAATTCAAACAAAATTAAAAAATTTAATAATCTTTTAAATTTTGGAAATGAAATATTTTTAAAATATGCAAAATTGTGGAAAATAAATATTTTAAAAACATATATACACATAAATATATATAAAAATTTATGCGGGTACATGAAGAAAGTATAATTGAAAAGGTCTTTAAGTTTTTGAACTTATTTGTTGCTGTCAAGACAATACTTATTAAGGCATAAATAGAGTGAACTGTTATTAATTTTGTTGTAAAAGATAAAGTTTGCTGTATTCTGAACATTGCTCTAAATAAATTATTCATTTTAATTTTTAATTTTAGTTTAATTATTTATTTTTATACAAAATGTAATTTGTTGCAATATGTGTACATATGCAATATTTGCTCTTTGCGAAAACATAACATTTGACTGATTGGAAAAGTGATGGTAATATCTCCTTTAATGCCTATAGTAAGTAACTTGCTGTTTCTTGCTATACTTAAGAGAAAAAAGGAAAAAAGGATAGATTATGTGTAAATTTCCAGCGGTTAAATTAGCAGTCCAAAGAAAGCGGAGAACAATTACGAAAAGCAAAACGTTTTAAGGACGTGTGCGAGTTAGGCTAAGTTGATGCTAAACCAAATAGGAAATTTTTTGGGATTTTTTGCACTGCACACATTTAGCCATTTATCAACACGTATCGACACATCACTATGTTATCGGCACAACTTAGAATTTCTCTCATTTAGAACGCAACTTAGCGTAACTCGCACACGACTTAAATACTTTACAGTCGGAAAATAAAATTGCTCCATCACTTTTTCAGCGTTTTATCGCTAAAATAAATTGTCGCACCTGACGACATGATGAACTATATAGACGATGTACAATTTGGTAGTGTAACAATGAACAAATTGTACGAAGAGTTGGCGCGTATCTTAAACGGTTTATATAGGTATTGCAAATGTTGCCCTTAACCCACAAAAGTGTGAATTTTTGAAAACTACGGTTAAACAAATTAGTGAGTGGACAGGAGCGACATTGAAATAGAAGACCGTGCTCGGCAACGAATGGTCGGTTTAAGAATTACATGATTTTGAAACGGCATCTCTATCGATAAAGTATAAGTTAGTAGCGACAATTGGTTTTTCGAAATATAGCTTCATGATGATTCTATCAAGCCAACAGTCAAAAAATGGCGATCCAGAAGTAAGCAAAGATTTTATTATCCACTATGGCAAACTGTACAGAAATATGAAAGGTAAAAATCTTTTGGTGGTTCCAAAAGGGCTACGGTGGCAAATTGTTTACAGCGCACTCGATAAAACCGGTCATATTGGTTTAGAAAAAACAATTGAACGAATAAGCAAACACATGTGGTTTTCTCGTATATGCAACTTTATAAAATTATATTTCAAATCTTGAATTGATTGAACGTATAATAAGGTTTCAGGAGGTAAAAACGAAGGTGAACTTCACAGTAGCGATATTAAACTAATACCGTTTCGAACTGTACACATCGATCACTTTAATCCCTTTCCAAAAAGCTCAAAGCGTAATGAAAATTTTGCAATTGCTCCAACTGTTAAAGATACGGTCACAAAACATGTCATTAACGTATGTGTAGTACACGGACGTAGTACACGGACGTAGTACAACACTGGTAGTAAATGTACGTTGTACAACACGGGACAAGAGAAGAGCAGCTGGGAGAAAAAGGGCGACAAGATAAGCGTTTGGTGTAAGATTAACAATTAGTGTATTTATTTATGTGTAACTAGCGAAGTTACTACATTGGCGACGAGGATAAAACTAACATGAATGCGGAACAGTTTAATTTGTTGTTGCAAGCTGTGCAAAAATCAAATAACGCTTTGCTTGAGGAGCTTCGTTTGTCGCGGACACTACAACAAATTGATACGCCTTCTTCAACTACAGAAGCAGTTTCGTCAACATTTAGGAATCTATCTGACTCAATGCTAGAGTTTTGCAATGATCCTGAAAATAAAGTCACATTTGAATCATGGTACAAGCGTTATAAATCAGTTTTCGCTATAGAAGCAGCACATCTCACTGAGCCAATTACGGTTCGATTGCTCACTAGCAAATTAAAAAATTTGGATTTCGAGCAATATGCAAACTCAATCTTACCAAAGGAACCCCATGAGCTTACACTCATGCAAACGGTTGCCAAACTCTCGTCTATTTTCGGATATCGCCAATCAAAATTTTCTCAGCGCCAAAAATGTTTTACAATTTCAAAACAGGATTATGAAGACTTTGCTCAGTATGCTGCTCGCGTCAACAAACATTGTGAAAAATTTGACATCGTTAATTGCACTCCCGATGAGTTTAAAGTACAAATATTTGTCAATGGCTTGAAGAGTTCACATGATTCGTTAATACTCGAGAAACTCCTTGCAAGACTCGACAATGAATCAACACAAAAACATCCACGCAAAAGGATGCCTTCATGCACTTAACACTTCAAGACCTCGCTAATGAAGCTGAACGTAAAATCTGTCTGAAGCAAGACAAATACACTGTCGTCCAGCCATCTTCAAGTTCAGAAGTTTTTGCAATTCACCATCGATATCAACGCAAAAATGAATCAATACTATCAAATTCTTCAACAAAAGACGAAACTTCGAAACCACCAACGCCATGTTGGTGTTGTGGAGGTCTTCATTGGTTTAAAGATTGCCCATTTAAAGGCAAAGAATGTTCAGCATGTAACACTATTGGCCACAAAAATGGTTACTGCAATAAGAAGCCAAGCAAGTTGCGACGCAGAAAATATCAGCCTGACACATCATGTGTAAAGAAAATTGACGAAACTAACAGAACGCAGCAGCATCGTAGGTATGTCAGACCAAATCTCAATGTATCTACAATTAAACTCCAACTTGATACCGGGTCGGACATAACAATTATTTCCAAATCGAACTGGACCAAACTTGGTCAGCCAATCCTACAAACTACTAATAAAAAAGCTGGCGATGCTTCTGGAAATGTAATTCCTCTTCTGAGCAGCTTTGCTTGTGTTGAGAACCTAAATGGAAGAGAGGAATATGTTGTGTGTTATGTCACACCACTTAAGTTGAACGTGTTTGGAATTGATTGGATAACGACATTTGACTTATGGTCAGTGCCTATCTGTTCCTTTTGCAAAGCAATCCAACTAACTAGTAGCGATAAATTAAACGATGAAAAAAAGGCTAGATTTCCGTCTTTCTTTTCTAATGACCTTGGCTGCTGTACGAAGACCCAAGCGACTCTGAGGCTAAAAGAAGGAGCGCGACCCGTTTATCGTAACGCTCGACCAGTTCCATATGCAGCAGCTCCCATAGTTTCGGCAGAACTTGAACGTCTTCAACATCTTGGAGTAATTTCACCAATTGAATACTCACAGTCAGCGGCGCCAATCGTAGTTGTAAGAAAGAAGAATGGAAAAATTCGTATATGTGCCGATTATTCTACAGGTCTAAATGACGGTCTAGAGCCAAATAAATATCCTCTTCCAGCGCCTGACCAAACATTCTCCAAACTCGCTAATAAGAAAATCTTTAGCACAATTGACCTATCAGATGCATTTTTCTAGATTCCATTGGACCAAGAATCTCAAAAACTGATGGCTATCAATATTCACCTCGGCTTATTTAAAGTACTTAGACTGCAGCAAGGTGTTAAAATAGCCCCTGGCATTTTTTAACAGATTGTTGACACAATGCTTAGCGGAACCAATACCATTGGGTTTATTGATGATATGATCTGTTCGGGAATTAATGAAGAAGACCACAAAATTCAACTGTTTAAAACCTTAAAGCGTATTCAGGATTATGGAGTCAAACTTTGGTCCGAGAAATGTAAGTTTGGAGAAACATCTGTCGAGTTCTGCTGACACACGGTAGATCAATATGGTATCAGACCACATCCTGGGAAACTTCGATCAATCCAAGGAAATCCATTAAAAGTATGAAAAGCCTTCGCGGTACTTTAGATGAACTTTTAAAAAAAGATAAAAAGTTTGAGTGGAAACAACACCATAATGAAGCATTCAACAAGATTAAAAATGTATTAGCTTCTGATCTATGTCTCACGCACTTCGATCCAGCAAAGAAAATAATTTTAACTACTGATGTTTCAGAATACGGTATGGGTGCAGTTCTCATGCATCAATTTAATGACGGAACGCTTCACCCAATTATGCACTACTCAGCTACATTCAATGCAGCAGAGCGGAAGTATCCTCAAATGTACAAGGAGGCTCGAGCTCTCGTGTTTGGATTAAAAAAATGTCACTATTACATTTCTGGTCGTCGCTTTACCATTCATATCGACCACAAGCCACTTCTTGCTATATTCAACCCGAAAAATGGCATCCCGTTATTTACAGCGGCTCGCCTGCAACGTTATGCAACCACTATTCTGTCATACGACTTCTCTATTGAATACATAAATACTGACAGCTTTGGATATGCCGATATTATTTCTCGACTAATCGCAAACCATGTAAAACCTGATGAAGATACCGTCATAGCATATAATCAATTAGAAGAAGACGAGGACCTGAAAATCAATTGTTTTGTGGTAGAAACAGCCACCAAACTTCAAATCACTCTCACTAATATTCAAACAGCAATTAAAGCCTGCCATACTCTCACGTGCTACATATTTAAGAAATTAATTGTTATATTATTTATTGCTTATGCTGATGAAACACTTCCACTTCCGCCGTCATGTTCTACATCCAAAATTACTGCTGGCCTCAAAAGAAAAAACAAATCTCAGATAATGAAGTAGCGGCATTTTTCCAGCATCGACATAATCTTACGATCCAACAACAGTGTATTTTCTTTGGTGAGAGAATTGTTATTCCCAAAATTTACCACCAGCAAGTCCTTGAAGATCTCCATAATGGACATCCAGCTGAGTGTCGTATGAAACTTCTTGCTGCTACCAAAGTTTTTTAGCCAAACATTAATCTTGATATCGAACATGTGGTCAAAACTTGTGACACATGCGCTACAGCCTTAAAAAGTCTAATGAAATGTACTCCTCAACAGTGGAAAATTCCTTCTGCACCATGGAAACGAATTCATATTGATTACGCTGGTCCAATCCAATCGCTGGCAATTACTTCCTTGTTATCATAGACGTTTATAGCAAATGGCCAGAAATATTCAAAACTTCAACTACTACTGCAGCTGAAACTATTGAGTTCATTGAGAAAGCTTTTGCGCAACACGGCCTTTGCGACACGATTGTTAATGATAATGCTCCGCAATTCATCTCGTACGAATTCAAAAATTTTTGCGACTTCCAAGGAATTAATCACATATCTACAGCTCCATACAGTCCATAATCAAATGGCTAAGCAGAACGGTTCGTTGACCTACTCAAATCACGACTTAAAAAGGCAAAGGGAAGTATCGACAGGAAGCTCAACGAATTCCTCACTTGTTATCGATACACACCATCCTACAATCTCGGTATGAAATCACCATCTGAGCTCCTAAATGGCAGAAAAATGAAAATTCGTCTTGACTGCATTAAACAGCAAAAACCGGAAGGCGAATTAGAAAAACAAAGTAATCAGCAAGAGACAAAATTAAAGCAGTTCAGCATTGGGGATAACGTTTACTATAAACTTCATTCCAATAATAATAAATGGACTTGGATACCTGCTGTAATCATAAAGAAACTTGGAGTAGTCAATTATGAAGTCAAAATTGACCAGGCAAGTAATGAGTGCGTTATTAAAGCACATGTAAACTAGCTGAAGTATCGTTATACAAAAAACGTACTAAATGAACTGTTTGAAGTTCCAGAATTCACGCATACAGTTGAACCATTCATTGTTCCAAATCGAACTTATGTACCGGAAGAGATCATATCCCCTGCTATCGAGCAACAGACTAATTCCAATGATGATGTTAATAGCAATCAGGAAATATCGACTATAACACGTTACAAAGAGTTAAGACGATCTCAAAGAGCTTGCGCCACAATGTCATCAAGACTACCAACAATATTAAAAGGGGAAGACTGTAGTAAACGGACGTAGTACAACACTGGTAGTAAATGTACGTTGTACAACACGGGACAAGAGGAGAGCAGCTGGGAGAAAAAGGGCGGCAAGATAAGCGTATGGTGTAAGATTAACAATTAGTGTATTTATTTATGTGTAACTAGCGAAGTTACTACAGTATGCAACGAAATAAGTAATTACATGGGAATGTCACAGAATTATATCTGATATATATCTGATTGAAATGACTTTCAACACATTTGCAATTCTGTGTTGACACCACGAGCCAATTGCTGAGTCGAGTGATGTAACATGATTACACTCTCCATGTTGTTACCTGCGATAAATAGTGACAAGCGGTGGAACAAGTTCCCTCATACAATTTAATGGTTGATAAAAAGCATAAAACGATGTCTCGGACGCCACAAAAACTACTGTTTACATTCAAACCGCGAGACATAATACAGAATAAGATAGTTCTTGCTCTGTAGCAGGATGACATTATGAACTACAATTGAATTAAGGATCGCAATGCAGCGGTAAAGCTGTTGAATGAAGAACGACTTAAAGCTAAACAAGGTTATGACAAAATGCACTCAACACCATCTAAGTATAATGTAGACGATGTCGTTGTGGTTGAGTACAACGTACCTTGCACTGGCACTACACGCTGTGTAGTGGTTGTGGTTAATATCCAAATTTAAGCGGAAAGAATGATCGGTATTCGTTTATCATTTATTCGACGTGGAGTTGCATATTCACCATCTCAAAGATCAGAGGTATTGGTGGCCCTCGCTACTTACCAAAGAGGAAGTTATGTCCAAAACACATAACTTCTTTGGAACCAGTGGAAATTCATTAGAATTTCGAATGAAGCGAATATCAGAACATTATCTTGATACAAGTGTTTGTAGAGCACAGTGGTCTTAAGCCTTAATAGCAGATACCCACTCTAAACAACAATGTTACTGTGAGGTAAGTTCCTTCTGCGGGTAAGAGGTTAAAATATTTCCTAAGTAAGCCATGACTGTTAAGAGGCGGAAAAAATTTCGACATTCAGAAAGTGTGTATGGTAGTAAGAGCTTTTTCCTACTTACGACAGTCTACCAGAGGTGTGAATCAGGTACAACGGGGGTCAGAGGCGCAGCTTCGGCTGCGCTGACCAACTGAGGTTGGCAGTATTGTATTAGCTGTGATTAATACTCAAACTTACGCGGGAAGAATGATAAGTATTAATTTACCATCATACTTAACTTCATTCGAAGCGGTGAAATTCTTTGGAATTTTATCGTGGCGTTGATTGACGCATTGTATTGATATGCATTTTTTTGAACACGTAAATAATTTTTGGATTCTGTAAGGCGATAACAATCCTGATATAAGTAGTGTAGTAATTTTTAGTTGATTGCCGCGTGCATAAGACAGAAGTGAACAAACTATTAATATTTAAACATTACCTGTAATGTTACTTTAAATATGAAAATTATATGTGAAACTAATCACAACACCGTTAAAAAATGTATTAAAATTATTATAAAAATTAACATAAATGTTTTACCATATTTACACTTGCTTGTTCCACCATTTCGTTTACTATTTTCTCAAGCTGATGCAGTTCCGTACTTAGCTGGACATTCTATGATCCCCCGCCAATAAGTGTTTGTTTTATTTAAATAAAAGCAGCATCTCCAATGGGTACACTGATATAGGCAGCTACCTGAATTCTTTATCATTATGCTCCAAAGCCCGCTTCAGATCTTGTATTTACTTATTCTTATATCTGTTCTTATTTTAATCCAAATATCAGCATGTTTGCTGTAGTTTTTTCTCGATTTTTTTGTCGACAAATTTTTTCTTTTTTTATTTTTTGAAGAAAGAAAGCTTCATTCTATCCAATATACTATTGATAGTATTTTTTCCACTGATATTTTATCTGTATTTACAGGCTTGTCTGTTTCATTTTAAACATGTGACATCTTTTTACTCAATACATAGAGAGTCGAAACAACACAACTTAACTAGTTCAAAATACATAGATATTTGATGAACTCATAGCTGACGCAAAAAAAGTTCATACATAACAATAAGAGAAAAACTCTCCTAAGTCACCACCAGTTTTAAATGAATTTTATGAACCCCGCCCTCTTAAGTACAGGAAATAGTAATTATGAAATAACTGGAAAAAACCACGAATTTTATACATACGATCCCAAAAGAGGTTTAGGTCGTATTAAGAAATGTGAATCCATCCATCGAACAAGGTGAAATAAAATCAGCTCTAAAAGAATTTGAACATATTGTTTTAAAAATTTGAAATATGAATCATCGCCAGACAAAAAGGTCGTTCCCACTTTGTGGAGTGTGTGCAGAAACGAAATAATAAACACTTTTACAATTTTAAAACTCTGCTGCACAATCAATCTTCACGCCACCCCAATTCGAATGTAAACTACCGCGATGTTCAAGACGTCAAGACTGTGACCACAAAAAGTAAATCTATTGAAAACTACTCAAATATTAAATACGCATCAATTAAAACACATACAATACAATAATCCTCCTATAAGGCG